TCTGCGAGGCAGACGGTCTTCTGGCATGCGGAGTACATGTCCTAACCAGCGTAACCTAGGAACGGCGAGTAACTCATCTATCGCGGAAGAGTTCCTTCTTCCTAAGACCATCTGGCGTAACTCAACACTACCAGTCCGATATACCCACCAGACCCAACCAATGCTGCGGAGTCACTGATGTTCAGACACCGACATCTTCCGTATGTCGTCTACGTGTAGAGGCCGTCTCTAAACCATGAATTAGTATGGATCACACCGCCGCAGTGCAAACTCTTACCTTGACAGACCAGCTAACTTCACGACGACGCCATAGGTAGCCGAGGTTGGTAAAATGTGTTCTGGCTTTCCTAATCCGAGAAGTCATCCCATCTCCAGCCAGTCCACCGGAACTTATACAGCTGTCCAGGTAAACAAATTTATCTGCCACGTCGATTGGCTCACCTGCAAAAATGAGGTGTGGGTTTGATCCCATTCAGTTTTGTAGCAGCATTTTACAATTTGCAGGTGTGAAACGTATGCCAAAACGTGTGGTAGAGTAATTTTATTTAAAATCGTTTGCATCTGGTAAACACATGAAACAAGGAGGGCAGTGTCGTCTACATATTCAAAGTCTGTGAGGGAACGTTCCGAGAGCATTTCGACTCCCGAGGTTTCAGAGGCAAGCAGAGATATTTCAAGCAGCCTATCAGTAACAAAGTTGAGGAAGAAAGGGGAAGAGGACAACCTTGTCTTACACCACTGGATGTGGTGAACTCAAGCGAAAGCTGCCCCTATACTCGCACGTACCCACAGGAAGTGGCACGCAGTGCCATCATGAAGGATAGAAATTTGGAACACCTTTGATCGCCAGACACTGCCAAAGTTTCTGGCGATCGACAGAATCAAATGCAGCTTTCAGACCGCGAAAAACGACCAACGTGAGATGTCTGAAGGGGGTGACGCTGTTCAAGAATTTGTCTCAAGGCAAAGATATGGCCGATATATTCCCGGCTAGAGCGAAACTCAGCTTGATTTTCACGAGTCTGTATCTCATGATAACCGACCGACCTACGCAAAATGATTCCGGAGAGTACTTTAGATGCGGCGGATACCACGATGATTTTCGCATGACTTTCTTGCGCCCTTTTCGTAGACTGGGTGGACGGTTGGTATTCTGTTTTCGTTTCAAATCTATGCTGTATGGTTGTTAGGCTGTTCACCAGAACCTCGCCACCTTCTTTGAAGAGTGCGGGGTTCAGACTATCAGCGCTAGGTGCCCTGTCGCTTCGAAGAATTGATATCACATCCTGGATTTCTGTTGTTGATGCGGGCTTGTGTCGATTTCCGGCTAGGGTCTTTCAGTGGTTGTGTTGAAGCAGACCAGGTGAACTGTTCTTTGAGTTGCTCAACCCACCGCTCAAGACAACGACTGAGGAAGTGAATTGCTATTCCGTCGTTTTCGCATATTGTCTCACTGACACCTGCCCTCTTTTGACCCAATGACCGAACCTGTTGAAACAGGGCTGTCGCCTGCAGCGCAAGCCTTCGAAATCCACCAGCGTTCTCTGTCACTCTTCAAGCTCCTGATTATCCGACGTTTGAGGGATATGAGTGCATCTTTACAGTCGCTAATTGCTGATATTGCCTTTCTGGTAGCAATAAGATCTGCTGATCATGACGATATCCACAGTTCATTTAGTTGAGTCAGAGGCTTGGACAAACAGTTCTGAAGACTGAGAGCATAGTTTCTTTAGCCCGTCTCCAATCAATCTTCGTCATCTGCATCAATGTGCGCTTCCAGCAGCTTTCTAGATAGGTTAGCTCGATACTCTTCAGATGCTGAGACTTGTCGGAGTTGATGAATGAAAGTGCTATGCTTTCGTATGCGTAATGATGCCGGGGGGCGAAGTGATAACCGGGCCCGGACGATGGCATGATAAGAGTCAAGCCAGTCAAGTCACCAGAAGGAACAACAGTCTCTAGTTGACGCTGAGCACCGAGGGGAGAGGACATTCCTAACGCACCTGGCATTAGCAGTTAACTTCAGCCGAGTAACCCGTTCCCAGGGTCCATTCAGTCGTGTCCCGAAGCTCACCGTTTCAGCGGTGAGAACGTTGGCCCCTGGAGAGCTTCCATAACATTACTATGGACAACAATTAAGGAAAAGAAAAAAACAATCGTAAAGTGTTTTTCTTAGAGATTCGCACTGTACCTCTCAGATGTAGCCCCACCCCACGGGAACAATAACAACTCCAAACGTATGATACATATGTGCATTTTTCAAATAATCTGTGATTCAGAAGAAAACACTAAATGTTCTTGCCTAAACCGAAGATCTGGTCAATTATCAGCGTCTTTAAATTGCCACTGGCGAAAGTAGTCGTTCAAAGTACGGTTGGCCCCAGCAATTGGACGCACAGGGTTGGCAGAACTACGTTTTGGTGCAGTCTTGGATAGAGGCCGTTTGCCACCGGACGGAATGGAAGTCTGGATGTAGGAAAGGAGGAATTGAAACGGATTATCTGGTGGAAATGTCATGACCAGGCCACATATAAGAGAAAAACATTCTGTTACAACTGACCACTGAATGTCAGTTGCCAGTAGTGTGTCAGAGAGGGGTCAGAATTCCAAAATGTTGTCACCTCATACAACGCCAACGGGACGCGCTCTAGATGTGCTTTTGATCTGGCTTTGGGCGTTTACTACACGTTGTGCATCTTTGGTGTTCTTTTACAGAAGACACTAACTTGAAACGCTCAGACTGAGATTTGAGCCGAGGCATTATCGACATTACGACAGGAGTGGTAAATTCAACTACTAACTGGGATTTTGCATAGGAAATTCGTAATAGGAAGTGAGCAATATGGAAAAGAATACAGTCCCACCCGTGGTTTTAGCTTATGCGGAACATGCACAGAATTTAAAGACGTAGATTCTTGCTTCTGGAGATGTAAGGACTGCACCTCAGATCCAGCCATAGGAAAGACTTCAGCCATCACTTTCATGAAGGGTGGGTGAATGTTGACACTCTCCTCAGTGGTAAAACGGCACGCGTGGACTGTTGAGACATCGGAACCATGCTCAGCACAACTTCTGTGACTCGACCGCCAACGATTCAAGCAATCGCTCCCCAAGGGTGGATGTTGATGAGAGGCATGGTGGCGCAGTGCCTGTCAGCAATTTGGGAAGTAAGCGGGTTTTATTTACTTTTAGAGAAGAACCTGTGTACCTGACTCGTCGGGGACACATGCGCCTCAGTTATGGCTACGACACCGACGGTAAATCTGTCGGTAGTGGTCGAAGCCGGCAGAACCAATCAGAAGCGATTAAGGTGGGGAATTAGTGTCACTGCTGTTTTCCTCTTCTCCACAACGCTAACAGAAGAGATCCCTGATAGGTAAAAACTTCTGTGAAGTTGTGCATACACTGAACCGGCTAGCTGATACAAAGAAATTCTCGGTTTCAAAAAATTAAACGTGTCGATAACTGCGTGGTTGTGCTGATGAAAGCAGCATTGTGGAGATGACTTCACTACAGGAAATAATGCTTTGAAGACAGAACAGATTATTACAAGCAAAGAATGAGTATAACACCTGTTGCCTGAGTCCGCATGCGGCAGGCGTAGAAAATGTTAGCAACGGGATAACTATTCAAACCTTTTCTTCGAATAGACTTATGAGGCAAAGGCCAAATTCGGTGTAAAAGTAGCCTACTGTGGAGAATGAGTGGTGACGATAGCAAACAGTTCGTTAGCAAAATGAGACAACTACAAGTAGAAAATTTCGAACGACCTAATGAGGATTTTTCTTGACGTATGTAGCCAAAAAACGAGTATTTATTCACGTCGACTCGTTTAGAGGTGGATTTGTCACGGCCATCATACGCGTTCATTAAAGAATATACAGTTCACATGTCTTCTCGCTCACACTTCACAGGACAGATAGCGCATCGGTTAACCAAGGCCTGCACTAGAGGTTGACAGGTGGGAAAACTTTCCACAAATACCAACCTACTCATGGAGAATGAGTAGTCAAGACGCTAATTGTAATTGTGGGTGGATGCCACAGAAGCTATTGAGGATGTCGAATCTAATGAAGGAAAATACATGAGGAGACCAAAAAACAAGCGAGCGTTTTATTGCGTGACAAACAATCACAGAGAGCCGAAATTAAGCATAAACCAAGCTCAAGCCTATAGGAAACTTGAATACTGCTCATCGAGAAGTCAAGATCGTGAAACAATTGCTCGACAAACGTTTCAAAACCATAGAAGACAAACAATAATCAACGGAACCAACGTACCCGGGATAGCACAAATACTCAGCTTTGTGGGTATGTAAGAAGCCGGGAGAGGTGGGAAACGTCAACGTAGGAGCGCAACGTATTATCCAAAAGGGTCAACGTCAGAGTTCAACCTTAACGTCTATATTATTCCTATCGTGGGCGGCCAAGCAACCTTCCTCCGATTACTCAGAGGAGCTACATGATTGGTCAGTTTAATGGTGGCCGGAAAGTCGCCACAACGGTCCCAACGACCCACCGCCAAGCTCTGACCGGTAGCTCATAGAAGATGCACTGATTGCCCTTTAACGAGGAATCCTCCCGGAAGAGAACTCTCGATCTAAATTCACCAAATCTGATCTTGGTCACAGATTGCCTGAATGTGGCCAACATAATTCAAATGACCACGTGACTCTGGTAAGTGCGACGGGTTGAACCCGGCAACAAACAAGGATCCAATTTCAATTGGATCCGTATCTGACCTGGAAAGGGGCGAGATGGCTCAGTGATTAAAGCGCAAATTTACTGGCCGGAACCCGACCTCCGCTTCTCGACTTCCCCTGTCTAGGCTTGGGCGACCTGGCAGTATCCCAGCCCTCGTGCCACCTTTTGGTGGCACGGCAGTTAGGCACCGAAAGGGTGCTATAGCTGAACGATTTTTTATCTGACCTGGTTGCATCGGGTCACACCAACCCGGCAGCGATCGACAGTGAGTTTTACTCAGGGAGGAGCTGTGCTATTGACAACAGACCCCGTTCTTACAAAAAACGTTGAATCATGTCAAATTTCGATTTCGTACACAGTACTCAGTGGAAACGAAAGGGGCTATAGCTGAACGATTTTTTATCTGACCTGTTTGCATCGGGTCACACCAACCCGGCAGCGATCGACAGTGAGTTTTACTCAGGGAGGAGCTGTGCTATTGACAACAGACCCCGTTCTTACAAAAAACGTTGAATCATGTCAAATTTCGATTTCGTACACAGTACTCAGTGGACAACTGCACTACCAGACTTACTCCACTTTGATGAGCTCTACTCACTCACATAACCCGCGCTAGCTGACTATCCAGTGCTGAGCATTAATCAGTATAGCTGTGAAACTTGGCCGCCTACAGATCTGAGAACCTTCCGCAGATTCAAACGTTTGATCATCGGTGCTCCCCCAATTAGCTAGCCGCAGCATGTCCGCCATGCGCAAGCGAGCCATTAGGGATGAGCCAGAATCATCGGTGGTTCGGAAACGCGTGGCCAACCACTGTCCGACAGAGAAAGCACAGACCTCCACACCGAAATCTTGCAGCCGAAAAGTTCGCGCGGTAACGAGAAACGAATACAGCTACTGCTAAACTATGTACCATTGGATTTCCTGGGGTCTACCTCACTCTCCTTGCGAGTGATTAGAAACCTCACAAGATGAGGCACAGAACCGGACTCTTTGGCTAGATCTTTCCACCGGGAGCCTGGATCATCGCACCTTCAACTCAAGGCCTAAGCAATAAGCCTCCAGGATTACGAAGAGGCATATGATGGGAAGGCTTCGGAAGACGGCCTTGAGCAGCGCCAACTATCGAAATCTCCGAGAAATGTCATTGGGGTATCTGACCATATTTTATTCGATGCTCGGTCCAGGCTACACATGTATCATGTCCGGTAAGGATCTGTCCCACTCACAATAACGCCTAGTGTCCTGACAACGGAAACTTAAGGGAAACTTAAACCAGACGTCATGGGTTTGTTGAAAAATCAATACTGCCGATAATTCTAACAGTCGTCCACAGGATTAAAAGGTCACATGCAATGAGGTTCGAAATCAGAAACAATGATTTCCGAGCAGCAAGTTGAGGCAACTCAACGAGACGACTACCCAACCATAGTCACGTGACACCTAATGACAAAAACTGATTACTATTATGTGTTCTTTTGACTGTAACGCTCGGAAAGAACATAGGGAGACGTTCATGTGTTAAATATGCCTTTATAAGACAGTTGCATATACAACTTTTTAATGACAGATCGGGAGGCGGGTCGACCGGAATTTTTGGTGCAGTAAACCAAAACCCAACTACTGAGTTTACACCCTGATTAGGCATAATATGGGCCAATCATCACCATCGAAAGACTCACAGAGTGCGTGCGGACTGGACTGGGGACGTTAACGGGAGAACATTTGAATCGCTCAATAGATGAGGAGACAGAAAGAGAGCCGGGACAATCTAGTGCGGATTTGCCATGGAACATGGGAGAGGTTCGTGTGTTCGGTCGTGATGAAGCTATTGCCTGAGAGAGGTGGGAATTTAAAAAGTTGGGTGAGAACTCGGCGGAATCGTCATCTGGTGAAGGAGAGGATGGTGGTGGTGGCGTGGAGGACTTTGTGAGATCCGACGCGAATACAGGTGACGTGTTCAATACGATTCTGGTGGGAAGTCGATTAGAGAAAGTCGGGGATTGGTATGTAGGACTGGATCTGAAAAGCAGACGGGCACAAGGGGCGGCATTTACGAGTATTCCCTTTTCAAATATTCCGGCGATACAAGAGACTGCCAACAAACAAGAGCTTCTGCACTGTTGATAAAAGTAACCACACGATCATGAATGATCAAGCTGTCGGAAACAGAAGGGAAAGGTTCTAGCGGTAGTGTGACAATCAACCTTCAATTAGACAGCGTGATAGAACTAAGACCCTTAGCAGTCAAATACTGTTCGCCAATCCGAGTTCAGAATAGCATAGAATAGTTCACCCAAACCTGAGGAGCGTGACACATGACCGAGTCACCACAACTGGCAATGCTGCACGCTACGGTCAGTAAACCTGTCGCGGTCAGCCTATTGTAGACCTTAGCCATACAGCCAATCAAGTCATCGAAAGCCAGTTGATTGTTCGGTCAAACGTGTCGCACATCGTTCGTCGAGAACACGTTCAGAACGGAGGTTAAAGCAACTGGTGCAACAAATCTTTTACCCAAAAGCCATGATCCGTCCACGGAATACATGTGCACTGACGAGCTAGACATGACTACGGTTTTTCGTGAGTAGATCGAGACAGGGCTTAACTTGGATATCCGCAAAAAAACACTGATGACACGGTTCTTCTTCCACTGATTAATTGAGTTCGGAGGATACTACGATGTCTGTGCGACAGGAGTGAGGACCTCAACAATGAGAACAAGATCAGCTGTAGTCTGCTCTGCATTTAGGTCTTGTTCTGCTAGTTTACACAGTGCTCTTGATGATGACAACGTGTAATTCCTCCCTCCGTTTGAATTGGATTCTTGAGACATTCAATGTCTGTGAACGACGTTCCGGGGCAATATGCTGAACTGATGACAAGGATGTCATCTGGCTCAACGGTGACACCCGCTACGTTGTTGGCAAAGTCCTAGGAATTCTTAATGTAAGTACCGGATTCCCCAGTGAGGGTTTTTAAAATACTTTCCAAGAATCTGGCCAGCTCATGCGATAGGGAACCTACTCCGTCTACTATCGGTCTCACCGGGACATCTGGTTTATGGATTTTTGGTAGGCCATAAAGCCGTGGTTGGATTGCACCATGGACATCGGAGGTCATTCGAAGGATTCTAAACACGACTAACATAAGAGTAGCTTTCCAGAGGGAATTACTCTGCGCCATGCACTGGTGCAATTGAAGGATCGCCTCCCGGCAAACAGAACCAGGGGCTGTGTCTACAAAATTAAGTGTAACGACTGTACTGAGGTCTACGTAGGACAGACGGCCATGGAGATTCATAAAAGAATCCGAGAGCATATTAGAAAGATGAACAGACCGCCGATAAACGCGGATGGATATCAAGCATCACTGAAAGACTCGGCAATTACGGAACACGCAATGGACACAGGACACAAAAAAGATTTGGAAAAGTTTGCGGTTCGAAGGCGAAGACTATGGTCCACGTCACACAGACTGATAGCCGAGGTGGTATAAATCGCCAAGCATCTCATTGTAAACAAAATAAAAGGCGTGGAACTGGCAAGCATGTGGAGAATGGTGTTGGATCAGTCGAGCTGACACGTGTTGGTGTGCGGTCATCAGAAGGAGGATTAGTCATCATGTGGATTCCACTTGACCTCACCCCACCCCCCCCCCCCACTAAATTGTCGCAACACTCACAATCCCACAAAGATAAACGAAATCTAACAGGAGCAACCGCGGTGAGTCATCAATTGAGGCACATTGGATCGGAAAATAAAGAAACCGAACCCGATCAGAATTAGCGAATATACACTCGTTTGCAAACTAATTTGGTTAGATCAGAATTAGTTCGAAACTCCCCCAATTCACCAACGCAAGATTTTGACACACACACCACACTAATCGACGAGAGCCGTTAATTGACACTCAACACTGATCTAGTGTCATAATCTGAAGAGGACTTACTGACTAGTTACCCGTCTGTCTGATAACCTGGCCAACTTGGTGACCTGCTTACTTGGCCTGATGAAGCTTTTGTGTCAAAAGCGAAACGTTGCTCAATTAAAACCCACCGATTGTTTACCAAGCCCTTCTGAAACGATGACTTCTCAATCGGTTCCAAACTTTTTCCAAACACCTGAAGTTTCTTACTCAGGACTCGTTGGTATTTTGAGAAAACCATTTAGCGCCTGGTGTTTCAAATCCCTTCGACAGAGCTGCTTTACTAACACGAGATACGGATTGCTTCAGATGTGTTAGGAGGCACTCCTCCTAACAAACATATTGCTCAACATTTCTCTCTCTCTCTATTTTAGCCTTTCATTGGACTGTTTTGTTCCATTCCATTCTTGATTCTTCGAATCTCGATATTGGCTGTTCAGTTGCTGCAGTATAATTTCCTCAAGGCTTTTTGTCTTCTCAATTCCGTGTGTAACTGACAAGGTTGATTGACTGATCAGTAGAGAACATAACAAGATGGAATCCTTAGAACGCCAAACGATTGAAAACGGAGGTATCGATGCCCATTGTCAGGCAGTTTTGTTCTCTGCTCAGTCTGAAGAACTAGGGAGGTACAGCAGGGTCATGTCGATTTGCGACACTGGTTAGAAAAGCGCTCATATGCCTTTTCCAAGCAGCGGTCGTAAGTTATCACGATTAAAGTAGAGGCAATCAAGTAAGAAAGAGAAGATCGGACAGTCAGCTGAGTCAACAGAAGATACCGGTTAGAGGTTCTGAAAATCTGACCCACTTCCCGCATTTATGACTTAAATAAATAGCGAAACTTGACCCAGGATTGTTGTCACCCTGTGTTGACCTTCAGCCTCCACCTTGGTACTCCCAGTCATGTTCTTGCGAAAGCGTTAATCCTGATTAGTGGTTATGGTTTGGTTGCAAAGACGAAACGCACCTAGCAAATCTACACAAAACTGATGTTCCGGGATAGCCTGTCATATAACAACAAAATGTTCGACCACAAACAGCCTCAATGTGAGCCGATCTCAACGGGTTACAGTTCAGAGGAGCGATGAGGGAACAAGGCTGGAAGTTGAGCGCAGGGGATAGGTTATGATGTAGACTATGCCCTGTAAGTGAAGCCAGTCTATGCTGAAAAGCCGAGAAACACTGTACAGCTGTTTCGTCCTCACTGGAAATAATCAGCAGCGCGAATCTCTAATCCGTGACCTCCTGGCCACTGCTTTCAATACTTAGGTGTTTGGCGACGAGCGGCTGATCACTAGTGTGATGAACTCACACCTGGACAGGATATAGTGGCGCTTCTATAAAAATGTGAATTTATTTGAAAGCCCTTTTTCTCTGTCTGTCTGTTAGGCCAGCTGTTTTCACGGCGAAAAGGGGTTTCCGCACCGGCAGCGTACACTACCACAACCAAGCAGGCGACTGTCAGCAAGACGGATAAAAGTGTGTTAGTGGACTCACATCAAGCGACATCTTAGGACACCACACAGATCGATTTAATCGTGCATTTCCCTGATCTGACGGAGCAAAGTGGTAGGCAAACAAACCTAATACTGATTACCGCAGGTGAGTAACGGAAGGCTAGACAGCCGGTCAGTTTTTGTCGAGAGTCACCGTTTGGTTCGGTGCCATCGTATTTCGTGTGCACGGCATGTGTGAGCCTATTTGATGAGCCTTAAAACGAACTAAACACAGAGTTTCACCAACCCTATGAGAAATAGCAAGGGGAATGAATGGAAAGCGAAATCGTTCAGCTGTAGCACCCTTTCGGTGCCTAGCTGCCATGCTATACGAAGGAAGCACGATGGCTGGGATACTGTCAGACAACGACATGGCTGAAGTGGTTAGACCGCGAATTTACTGACCGGAAGGTTCATGGTTTGAACCCGACATCTGCCTCTCTCTCAACCTGGCAGTATCCCAGCCTTCATGATTCCTGCGGGTGGCATGGCAGCTAGGCACCGGAAGGGTGCTACAGCTGAACGATTATTACTGTTTTATTATTATTATTACTGCCAGGTTGCCCAAGCCTAGACAGGGGAAGTCGAGAGGCAGGGGATGAATACACGATACCATACTTCCTTACTGTAACATTTATGGTAGAATCAAAATGCCAACTGTTTCCGGAACATAGCTCTCACCGGAAAAAAAAACATTGAAAACGTTTTGGGCATGCGCATTGTAGTAAGTAGTAAAATATCCATTCTACCACATTTTTAATTTTAAACCTGGGCTACCTGAGCTGCATTTTCAGAAACTCCACTAGCCCCACGGCGATTTTCAGGTCAGTCCACTGTCATGGGGTTTGCTACTTCCCAGCTTATATTACCCTTACATTTCAACAACAAGAGAGAGTCCCGACTGGTGACTGACCATCAATTTTTGATGTGTTCCGACTCTTCATTACTGTACTTCCTTTACCCCAGTCAAGCACTTCCCTTGTCTGAGTCTGCTGTTCACTGCGTCTACCTCCTAGACTCGATATGCATTTGTAATATCTCGCGTACTTCTAACCCTTAACATGTCTAACCAATTTGGTCAACCATCTTTTACGCGCGGTTTTGACCATTTGCGTTACCGCACGTTGTGCGCAGGCGTGCATCGTTAACTAAGATCCATTTGTCGTCTTCTCCGGGCTTTCGTTGGACTTGCACTACTTCGGAAACCCCTTTTATTACGCATTTTATACACGTAGTACCGCATCTCATTGGTGAATCTCGGGAATCCACAATTTCTGGCTTGTTATTTTGCGCGTCACTCAAGTGGGCTTTCCCAAATACGTGGAAGTACTCCACAACCCTCTTTCCCCCGGAATCCTACAATTGTCTGTCTCCATAAACTCGTGCACGTTCAAGCTGATGTACAACCCGTCAAAAACCACAGTGACGTCTATGCGTGACTCTACAGAGCATGTTGTACGGAATTCAAAACGCTGCTTCACACTTTTAGAAATGGGAGAAATTCTACTTTCCGTGTACATACTACCATGTGAACGCTATTCTGATACGTCGTCATCACTCACTTTGATCGCGGAGTAGTGCGACTACCGCAGGAGGGAGGAGATGTCGACGGGCTGATGAAAGACGAAAGCGTCGGTGGTTGCACGTTCTCTTGAGATGGAGGTGTAAGGAGAACAGTCTCTGCAGAGGAAGTCCCAGTGTCACATCTTACCATCTGAGCATTGAGGCCAAACGGATTTCGATGAAAAACTGGGCTTCTAGGGGCTGTATCAACATGATCTGGTTTATCCTCGTCCACGGCCGTCTGAAGAGCACATGCGACGTCATCATCTTTAGCAACAGGGCTATCGAGTACCGAAGAATTTAGCTGCAGCCGTTTTGGAGGAAAATAATTGGAACACGAAAGAACTGTGGAACAGAGCCTACTCCGATCAGGTAGCTGAGGTGCAGGAGTAGCTGTACTCTCGAAAGAAGCTCTGTAGGTTTGTAAGATTTCTGTAAAACAGGAAAAAATAGGGCAGTAGTGTGAGGAATGGTAGAAAAGACAGCCGCTCAACAGCATCCAACGGGAAGATTTACCTGAGGTCGAATCTACTTCGTGCATATCAACCGGAGATGTGGAGGAAACTATAGTCGATCGTTTCGGGGCAGGTTGTGGAGGTGAGGAATCACTGGTCCGTTTGATGACCCTGTTGAGGTTATGCAGAATGGTAGTGGAGACGAACAGTTGTTTGCCATGTGTTGCAGGCATCATTCGCGTATTGCTGGCTCTCGGTGATATTGTTGCACTGGTCTCGAAATCCTCCGACCACTGTGTATCGATCGTTTCGGCACTGCGAACCGTAGGTAGTTCTTTGAGCGGGTTGACAGTGGAAACAGTTAGACAGTGAACCGAGGGCTTGTTGTCACCGTCGTTCAACCGTCGGTGGATCCAAACTGATGTGGAACGGTAAAAAATAAGAGTATGGACGTGGTAAGTTGTCAGAAGAAATATAAATCAGACCATTTACCTGCCGACAATTGACCCTTGTGTCAGATGGATTCAGCGGCAGATCGCAGAACGAATAAGAATATTCATACAGACCAAGCATCCTTCTGTACAGAGCATCTGTCTCACAGTTGATAATACTCGTTCAGCTGTAGCAACCCATTCGGTGCCTAGCTGCAATGCCACACGAAGGAGGCACGAGGGCTGGGATACTGCCAGGTTGCCCAAACCTAGACAGGGAAAGTCGAGAGGCAGAGGTCGGGTTCGAACCACGGACCTTTCGGTCAGTAAATTCGCGCTCCAACCACTTGGTCTATCTCGTCCCTGTTGATAATACTAGAGCACTAAAAAAACGGGGGTGAGAATAAGGAACTTGTTCTATTTAAAGTCAAACCTACGGACCGCGACATCTTTTCGTTGTTCACACGCCATTAGGCTGTAGGAAGTATGACGACTATGGTTATCTGGGTGAAAAGTTCTCAAGACAGACGAATCTAAGTCGTCCAACTGCTGGAACCTCCAATAATATGTGTGGCTACAAACAACCCGATGTTCCCGGGGGCTTTCGCTCTTGACTGTACCGTTCATAGGAATATGTACGGGTTGATCAATCACTCTTATACCCATGAAGATTGCAGCTATTTCACCTGAGTATATCTGATCGTGTATAGATTCACCTTACTAAAGCTCTGGGACGACGCTGACACCAGACAACACACATCTTTAAATCACGGTTAGATCGAGGAGGATCGCTTCTATTCTTCCATCGATTAATTCAAGCCAGGCAAAGAAAAGTACGTCATTCAGCTGTGACTCAATAGCCTGGGTGCGCTTACCAGCGGTTGATCAGGTGGAAATTAGCTCACAAAGGTTTCATCCCCAGTCGAAGGGACATCGTCGGTGAGCAGTTGACTGGATACTTCCTCCTTACGTGCTTGCGTTTATGTATTATGACATCCTCAGATGTAACGCAACGCCCACCTGATCAACCGCGAGCTGTGACACGTTTCGCGTACGGCTATCATGATGCGCGAAGGAGAGATGGAATCCGAAATACTACCAAGTTGTCGCGGAAATGAATACTTCCATTTCAAGTCAGAGCGTCGCAAAGTACCAACCAGATATGGTGTAGAGCACTCTGCACTATTGTGTGTGGACCTCATGCCGGAAGACCGTCTGCGTCGCAGAGCTCTTTTCAGCCAGCCCTGTGCCCAGTGGAACCGACCGAGATGTGGACAGTGCATGGCCTGGCAACGACGTATGAAAATACTGACCAGTGAACCTAGTCGAGTCGACAACTGCCGCCTTCTTGGATAGTTACTCGGGACTCAACTCACCAATGGTTAACGATACTGGCAGAAAATGGCCCAATCGCACAGTCAGTGGTGCTTGCTCAACCAGTTCCTGAACTAACCAAACACGCGATCGCCTCCAAGAACTGGTTGTATGTCCCACACTGCCCCACTTTCCGGTGATCGAAACTGTAGCAGCTGAAACCGTTGTGCCTATGGTACACGGTTTATAGCTGATAAATTGAGTCTAATCGGTTGAAGTGTGTGTGTGTGTGTGTGTGTGTGTGGAAGTCCAAATCATCGACCCAACAAGCAGTGGTATGAACAGACCTAGAATGTTCAGAGAGCTGGACAGCTTCACTGTTCAACTGAACTGATGGACACTGACTGGTGTGATTAAATACGGTTGTCCGCTCAAGAGAAATCACATTTCACCTAGGACTATTTCGGTGACTGGGTGGGTTTTAGCTTTGTATTGGTACTTGTTGAGAGGTTATCCTCAGTTTGCCAATCGTCCACGCAACAAGGACCAGGAGACAAAACTCTTGGTTTGTTCTATTTGCACTTCAGTACCAGGAACGTACCTAATCAGCAGAGGTTTGATCCTGCAAGCGAAGTTAACCTATCCTGAAAAGCCGAGAGGCACTGTACAGCTGTTTCATCCTTATTGGGATCATGAGCAGTGATCGTCTCACGAATCATAGGTGGATTCGAACCCATGACTTCCCGCCTAGTAGGTCAGACCATCAGGCTATGACCACATTACAAGTAAGGTTATTCCCGAAGTGACCGGTGATTTCAAAATGTGATTGTTATCGTCATGGCACCACTTGGGTCGTGGACCGCGTGATAGGACCTCCTAAAGGTGGTCCCTCCTTCACAAAGTGGAACCTTGACAGCGATTTCGAGTATTAAATTTCAAATTATCATATACAGCACTCTAGAACTTTAATATAATTCAGATGACACTACCATGTCCTGTCTACTTGGAAACTGTTAAAAACCAGGATTTCCAATCTATTTCTGCTCAGGATTCTATGACCAAACACTTCGTGGTGAAGGTAACATCCAGGAGGTAGTGTACAAAAGTTGTTTTTCTCTGTAGAAAACAATCCGTTTCATCGGTGTTTTCAGATGGTCACTCTAGGAAGTCAAACAACTCACTTGTAAAAAGTTTTGAAGAGCCACTCTATACCTATCTTTTCACGTATGGCCTATTCAGCGGGATGAAAACGACGCTTTCAATGACTAAGCCACTCCCAAGAGAGAACAGCTCTCCAGTTTCGTCTAGTTTCTTCTGGTCGTGGGTTGTCGAAGAGTTTTCAGCAAACTTGTGAGTAGTTTCCTTTATGAAAAAAATGCAGTTTCAGTTTACGTCTTATCATACAAGCCACATCCCAGATGAAAAAAGATGATAGTAGCACCCTTTCGGTGCCTAGCTCCCATGCCATCCGAAGAAAGCACGAGGGCTGAGATACTGCCACGTTGCCAAGCCTAGACAGGAGAAGTCGAGTGGCAGAGGTCGGGTTTGAACCATGCACCTTCCGGTCAGTACACGCACTCTAACCACTGAGCCAACTCACCCCACATCCCAGATTGCTATACACAGTGTAATCGAGCACGCCCAGTAAATTCTTAGATTACATTGATAGTAGCGATGTCGACAGAAGGCCCATTCACACAAGTACACATGTTGCGCAGTACTCAGAACTCAAAAACTTATCTGTGAGGTGGCTTTTGTAAAATGGTAGCCTCCTAAAATCGACAGTCCAATTCTTTTCTCTGGCAATGACTTCTGTGGAAGATGACAATGGTTCCTTCAGACCTTGGTATCGTATGGTATGGAGAAGCTTATAGCACGGGCACACTAAAAGACTTCACTGGTGTCAGTGATCAGCGTATTGTTGCGGGAAGTGGTGTTTGTGTAGTGATATTCGCTTGTGTCGTTGAGACGCCACTTCCAACTAAAACCGTGAGAGGTGCTCGAGGGGAGAGACTACAGCATCCGGCATACATAAAGTGCATTCCCCTCTGTCTGAGCCTAACTTTCAGGACCACTCTCGTTAAGCAAATCGATAACCGGACCCTGTCATCATGGATCTCCAAAATTTCGTTAAGCAGCTTAAGCAATTCGCACCAATCGAGTATTGGTTAGGATATAAACATTCCGACAGCGTACAATCGCGAAGCATACGGTGGAAGGTGTCGTTCGTAGGGAAAGAATCCAGATTGGGACTGATCAGCTGATGTTCGTGTTTAAAATTATCACTCAACCCTACACAACCAGCGGTCACTGAAATCAGTTTCTGCGTGCATAAACAATCAGCTGACACGATTGCAACGACCAAAATGATTTAAACAGCGGTAGCCTGGACATTTTGAATTGATGGCCTTAGTTAGAATACCAATCCGATGTCAAATTAGGCCGGAGCCCCTTGAAGATGGAGCATACCTTATAGCTACAGGGACATCAGAGAAGCGACCCTTCAGCCTACCACTGAATTCGGGCATTACGACACTCAGGTTAGACAACTCGGTCGACTGGAATGTCTTCTCACCCAAATGCTAAGAAAAGTGCGGGAGATGCGGATGTGGGCATAACTCTTATTGGACTTGTCGAGAAGGGGTTCCAACTGACGCGGAGTTTACGACACCAGCTCTATTACCTGATAACCTGGAATAACCGTGGATAAGCCGAGTTGACACGTGGCTGTGTGTGGTTGTCAATTCATGTGGAATCATGAGCAAAAACAGGGGGATAGAAATTCCGATCCGAACAAAGTTCACGGAATCCCCCTTACACGACTATCGTAGCACTAGCTCATCCACACAGACGGACAGAAAGTACAAACGACGTTCAAGAGGGATCATCACGTGAACCGAACCAGAAGAACTAGACCCTAGGCTGGACCCAAATCCATCCCCATCGGCCTAACACTTGGTCACCCAACCTAACACACAAAATCCCACGACCAACACCTAACCAGAGGTTTAGCTTAACTTAGCTGATTGGTTCTCCTTCCGCCCTAAATCTCGACCAACCTCGTAACCTAGTCACTTGGCCTGACGAAGCCCTAGTGTCAAAAGTGAAACGTTGCCCAGCTGTAAATATCCGATTGTTACCAAACTTTTCCGAAATTTTGGTGCGTTACATGGCAGCCACGCGCCGGAAGGATAACACGGATTAAAGAATTCAACGAAGAACAGCTTACAGATATCAGTTTTTAACATCGATTGCACATCGTTGTAAATTGTCAGCGATGAGACTACCCTTTGCTAAGATCGTTCCGAAGCTTCCCGCAAACCATACACAGTAGTTAGGTACAACTCACCTTTCTGAGTAGAGAAATTCCTATCCCAAATGCTCATCCGGAGACGATCTTTGCTCGGTCGTTTGAGTGCACCGACCGCCGTGTGGCCGTTTGATCCGAGTTGACCTAACACAGGCCGAACTGAGGATGGCGAATCACCGTTATCCGTGAGGATGGGTCTACTGAAATGGCTGAGAAGACTACCCTCGGATCGCGGTTTCTGCAGACCATGGTGTGTGGTCGACTAAAACAGAACACAAAGTTTGAGATGACCGTGCGTAATGAGTGGCCTCCAGCGATATTTGTACGGGACCAAAGAAAAAGGGGTGTCCCGCATTTGGGAGCATTCCGAAACTCCTAGTAGGCTTATCGTTGAAATTCCAACTAGAAGTTCGGACGTCCCGTTGAACCAGACATGGATCCCAAAAGATCGAAAAAAACCTACCGGCGTTGCAGAACGATGGTTGTTTACCTTAATTTCTCCTGCTTTTCATTCCAAATCGTGAAGGTATTGGTGAATGAGTTCACGTTGCTGGTGCACATTGTTTTAGCCCGCCAACAAACCGAAGAGGCATGCAGGACAGAAGAGAATGGCGATAATTTACGGAAAGGGGTCCAAATTCAACACGGTCAGGCGACCGCAGATTTTCCAAACCAGCGAACGATCGGTCTGAGCGTGACTTATTTATCAACTCGATAGGACAGACTATGATTCAAGCTGTCGCCTAACAATCAGCCGGAATAAGTTGGAGGCAAACGAAGTGCAATCCTTTGCGTAACAATTTGGTTTTCATGGGAGACCCGACAGAACCTCTCGTTTATGATGTCCTTAATCTAAACCAGTTACACCAGGCTGCCTCAAGTATAGGCGTAACACACCACTCATAAGGCTGGTTCAAGTAGAACATATGATTAAGTGAAAGTCGGGGGCTACGCTTATCTGACGAGTCCCAAGAAGGGCGGAACCGGTTGCGGGCTGTCGAAGAGTTTTCAGCAGCCTTATGAGTAGTGTGTAGTTGAAAACAAGTCTTCAATCAATTGAAAATAGGAGAAGAAGCAATAAATGTCAGTCAAGATCGATTCTTCGACAAGTCTTCAATCAATTGAAAAAGTTTGAAAGTGTAGAAGAAACAATAAATGTCAGTCAAGATCGATTCTTCGATGACAGCAGCATGTTCGCTTTTCTTGAAAATAACTTTTAACCTATCATTAAAAGAAGCAAGAATGGACGTTTAGTTTTCATAACATGGAAAGAGTCTTCCGGCGGGTAAACACAGAGAATCGTGTTCCGTAGATCCTCACTGTGAATTAACACGAAGCCTTGATCGACTCTGTTACGGGATTTACCCGCGACGTCGAAGCGAATAGCTTCAACAACATGGTTTCTCGAGGATGTAAATCACCTTGGCTAAGCCAACTGGACGGCGTCAACGGTTGTTCGAATAGCCCAAGAGTGCGTTGCGAGAGGTAGGCAAGGAATGCAACTGATGCAATATACCACGGTCGCATTCAGCTCTGGCATCCAGAAAAGCAACACAGTCACGAGCGACTAATTTTCACCACTTTGAACACTTGGACCACAAGCGCCGAGCAACGAGTTCAATTTTCAGCATACTTGGCCCGAGATGTAATTGGGCACTTGCCCGAAAGCTATAAACGCACTACGAACTTTGCGTAAATAATCTACTTTTTGTTAAGTGAGGCAAAGGCCCACTCAGCTCATAGATGATGGGTGTCGTAGAGGAGCCTCAGAATGTATATGTTAGAGAAGCCATGACGTCACACTCAGCTCACTTATTCAGTCAACTACCACACAGAATGTATGAACGGGCCCTCCAGGGGACAGGGCCACCCAATCTCTGTACATCTAATTGACAAAGGCTATGCAATACTCATGACTGACTTGTGTCGGTTCCTAGTTCATTTGGATCTGATTGAATAGTTCAGCTGTAACATCCTTCCGGTGCCTAGCTGCCATGCTACCCGAAGGAAGCACGAGGGCTGGGATACTGCCAGGTTGCCCAAGCCTAGACAGGGGAAGTCGAAAGGCAGAGGTCGGGTTTGAACCACGGACCTTCCGGTCAGTAACTTCGCGCTCTAACCACTTGAGCCATCTCTCTGATTGGCTCACTAAGGCCCATAAGGGGCACATTTCTGCTAAGCTGTGCTGGTTCCCCGCAGTGTAAATGGAAAGCAATCGAAACGTTTCAATGTTTGTCAGGTGCAGCATGGCTTTTACACAAATGAACACTTTTGTGAACAAAATTCGGGTGAAAGCTCGCATACGTCAGAAAGGTTTATTTAATTATTGTGGAAGATAAATTCCAAAGCGAAAACCAAATTGATTTGCAAATGAGTGTATTTCTCGAAAACAGTCCAATTTGGGTTCAAGTAGAACATAAGGTTGACGGAAACTCGGGGACTGCGCCTACCTGATGAGCCCCAATAAGGGCGAAACCGGTCGTGGGCTGTCGAAGAGTTTTCAGCAACCTTTATTCAAAGCGAAAACTTACCGATGGCGTATCCGGATCAAATGTATCCCAGACTGTGTCGTCGTGAAAATCCAGGTTACCCAGCGCCAGTTGGAATGCCTTTGAGTTGTCCGGGTTAATTCTGTAAGAGAGCGATTAGAGTCCACAAAGGTTTGTCCACTGGATAGAAAAACCGTGGTCCGAAAAAAAGTAAACTGGTCCGGCATTTGAAAACTCTGGAGGATGACTTCAAGGTAGTGGCAGATATAACTACACAGTTTAGAGTGGGTTTCAAAGGCAAGAGACCTATTCGGATAGGGGTTTGAACTTAGGCCCCTAAAATTCCTTCGAATAAACCGCTTTGCCTGTGGCGTTCATTCACGTAGAAAAGCCGAAAGGTTTAAGGACTATACTCAATCACAAGACTGCTCCAGGAAGGGGTTTGCCCTAATGCCCTCAGGTAAACCTGCGCAATATGTTCAAGAATGACCGTCATTCAGACTACAAGCGGTGCCAACAGGTCCAACATATATGTCCACCCCGGGACCAAATTTTCGACCTTGGATTGATTAGCGATTGACCGAAGGCTAGCTGTTTCGTGAGGATACGCCTATGCAACGGGAAATCGGTCAGACTGTGTCCACCATCCACTGTTCCATGCAGACATGCGCTCTAATCTTCCCACCTTGAGAATTGTTCAGTGATTCACAAACCATGAGGATCTGACACAACAAAGTCATATTAACACAGTAATTTCCATCTCGTTCCAAAAAAACCGTCCAGCTGTAACACCCTTCCAGTGCTTAGCTGCTATGCCACCCGAAGGAAGCACGAGGGCTGGGATACTGCCAGGTTGTCCAAGCCTAGACAGGGGAAGTCGAGAGGCAGAGGTCGGGTTCGAACCACGGATCTTCTGGTCAGTAAATTCACGCTCTGACCACTTGAGCCATCTCGCCTCCATAAAACAAACACTATTACTGCGACAGTCGGACTATATCAGCAGACCCGACGACATCACCATCATCATCGCTGTGTTTCGAGTTAATCAACCACTAGAAAAGCATCAGTGGGTCAGCAGGTAGTGTGTCGGCTTTCAAACCAGTATGCTGACCTTGTTTCCAAAGAATCGCATGGTGGTTGAGACCCGGTACAGTAAGGGAGCACGTCATCCTCCTTGCGCCGTTGTACCGGTACAATTGTTACACTTCCTGGACGGTAGGTTCTCTGATCAGATACCGTCCGATGAGCGGTCAGTTCCCGGGGGAGCTAACGGCAATCAGTCTCCCTGAATTCCTGCAGGATTTGGCGATCTCCTTTCTCCAGGAGTAAATTTACCCATCCTCTTTCCATAATCCTCACTAGACGATAAAGTACCGAAAATGCAGACCCCCCTTCGAAGAAAACAAAGAATATCATGGGGGAAGAGCTTGTTGGCTCCTTCCCGAAGTAGCATGTCTTCGGTGGTGGGTTTCACATCTAATGTTGGTTGATGTAAAACGGTTTGATAGAACCCGTAGGCTGGATCGCTGTGGCCAAACGTTTTACGTGATCATGGAAATATCTTAACCCAACACAGAAGCTGATGCTCAGATGACGGATTGGGTCTCAGCTTTGAACTGTGACACTGCATGTATGGAATAGATTTTGAGGATGTTAAAATCCGTAGATTTGATTAGCTTGAAAACGAGACAGAGTCAAGACATAAATGAAGTTGACGCGCTCTGTTTAAGTCACTCAATAGCCCATGCCCGTTTCGATGCTCCAACCAAAACTTTTGACGAATACTACAGAAAATCGGTACAAGTTCAGTCATACTTATGCTGTGAGGAAAAACCCAGCAAAGACCACTGAAAATTATTTCTTCAAGCGTCGACACTTTCCTGGTACATCGGTGATCAATCAGTTGTACATCCGAAGAGAGGCCACTTCCATGAAGAGACACAAAGCTTTCAAAGAAAGCTTGGAACCGACTGTTATTCCATGTAAGCCAGGAAGTCATTCGAAGAATTCTAAACACGGCCAGAATAAAAGTGAGTTTCCAGAAGCGGAGCTCTGTGCACTGCGCCAGTGCGATTGAACAGCCACTTTCCGGTGGACAGAACAAGGGACTGTGTCTACAAAAATAAAATGTGACGGTTGCGCCAAGGTTTGTATAAGACATACGGCCAGGGAACTTCACACCACAATAGGTGAGCTCACACAGAACACAAAATTTACCAGTGGCCCCCAAGATATGCCATCAATTGGTGCGCCGTGAACCGGAGAATCAGGGATCCAACCTGATGAAAAATTTGAAATTCCCCCAACCCATCAACCGTAAGATTTAGGCTACTGGACCAACCGACATGAATGACATTCAACACTGAG